GTGTTTTTTACTTTTTTACATGATCGTTTTTCATGTTGATCGTCCTTATAATGACGGCCGAGAGTGTGATGTTGATTATGCAGTATACAAGACTTTCCTCTGAAATATCCTTCATCGTTGTATTCAATAAACTTTATAAATAAGTTTTAAGCTGTATCTAAATGTGATCAAATGTTCACTGGCGTCATCGTCTTCTTCAGCCTGTTGGTGGTTGCTTGAAAACCGCATACCACAGCAACGGTGCATTTCTTAGGCATGAGCAAGCGACAAACGCCAAGTGAGTTCCTCAAACAGATCATCGGGAAACCTGTCGTTGTGAAGCTCAACTCCGGTGTTGATTATAGAGGTATCATTATTGGTCATTGTTTGTCATTAGAGCTTCTGTTTTGCATAGGTATTCTCGCTTGCCTGGATGGGTACTTAAATATTGCCTTGGAGCAGACCGAAGAGTACGTGAATGGTCAGCTGAAAAACAAGTACGGAGACGCGTTCATTCGCGGAAACAACGGTTTGGTTCAGTCTAGTTCTTTCCTGTGAAACGTTCCTTTTTTGCTTTAGTGTTGTACATTAGCACCCAGAAACGAAGAGTATAGCCATAATGTCGCTGTATGCTTGCATTGTAATGGTTTTATAGTCATTGTGTAATAAAGCAGATATATAAGCCAGCAGTCACATGAATTTCCTTTCAAAAGCCACTTCTGTAAGCATAGTTTTTTTTCGAATTTTTACTTCTGAAACTTGCGCCTTAGTAAAACACCATCACTATAGAAAAAGCAGTACAAAATGGTTTAATTTCGTACAACACAGTGTATTGAACTATCGGGTGGGTAAGTGGTACCTATATTTATCTTGAAAAGATGAAATGAGACAAGTACCGGTTTATTAACCGATCCACCACTATATAACATTGAGCATAAACGGTTTCTTCATGTCTACCAACACAAGAATAAACTAGCCGAGGTAGACTTGTAGATGATGGGTCTCTACATCAAATTGTTCTGCACTCGTTATTTTAAAGATTTGCTGAGAACTGTCTATTGCGAAGCGGATTGTTTTCTCCGCTTCATTCCGGTATCAAAAACAAAAGGATTATATATCTTAGCGGTGGTATCGATAACTAGCAGTACGATAGTAAACCCAGAAGATCGTGTTTTATTTTTGTGTAAAGAAAAGACGAGTTCTTTACGTGGATAGAAAGTTCTCGATCTTCAGTTTTCAAAGGGTTTACACCGCATATGAATTCTATTGCATAAAATCCCGTTTATGAATCTATTGCATAAAATCTGGCTCTTAGAGACATAATACGGAGTACTAGATGACAAACAACCATATATAGTATGAGAAAATAGGAATGTTAAATCTGGTCGTTCCACTTTATAAGATAATCAAGAAATGAGTGAACAATGGCTTCTTTGTCATGATTATAGCTTCCACACAGGGCTTATAAATACTAAAAGTTATTGAAGTGTGTGAAAATATACACCATGTCCGTATTCAACAGTAAACAAAGCTAAATTGAGGAAGGTTCACCCCTGCACCGCTGTTTGCCTTGTGGAAAACCAATATTAATTAGCGTGAGAGTAAGGTGGGCAGATTAAGTAACATTTTTGCAACTCTAAAATTTTTCAATATCTTTCAGGATAATTTGCGCAAGTCCAAATTTACAAGTCGTAATTTGACATAACCATCCGGGGAGAGAATGGAGACAAATTCGAAATCATTTTCCTCTAGGAAGCAAAAAATGGCTACAGACGCATCGGAGATCAACATCGCGCTCCAAAATAGCTGTTACAAACGGACTAAGCTTTCGACCAGAAATATGACCTTTGTGATAGCACCTAAAATCCAATAAACGATTCTGAGGAGCCAGTCAGATATTGATCTCGATACTCAAGTCTTTGACGCTGATATCACAGATGACGTTGGCAATAAGAAAACAAATCTGGCTAAGCCTATAATTAGAAAATAAATTGTTGATACTCCTGAGTCATCCATTAATAATATTTGACTATTTTCTATTAACTATTCATTTTTCACACACTAAATTCGGCAAACAAAAATTTATTAAAGAAAGCAACTGTCAAGAGCAAA